TTATGATAACTTTAATGACGGTAGATAAGAATATATGTACTTATGGGAAATTCGAGGAACTTGCTTTTATGTTTATTTTAGTCTACGGCATAAACTGCGTATTTTTCGTAATACTAGACAGCTGTCCGGATTAATGAGGTTCTACTGTATATTAGATTTTAGTTTTAACTTGGAACGGTGAAGTCTCCCTTACAAATTTTTATTGTTCATACAGTTATTTAAACGAATTTCACTGATGACAGCGGTGAATTTTTACCTGGGTTATTCACAGTTACGTGTTAGCGGGATTAGATTTGACTTGGTCTCTGGAAAATTTTTTATAAAAATAAAGTTAGAGTAGTTTATCTAATACAGTCCGCTGTAACTGTTGTCGTTGAAAAGTGTTGGTTACAGTTTATTATAAAGACCTTATTGTTATCGACAGAAAGTTAATTTCCGGTCGATTGTTACAGTCTGTTGGTAGATAAAAATAGTATATTTACGTCTGGCCTTGTCAAAGCGGTCGATTCCCAGGTAACCGTTATTATTATTGTTCACTCGGTGCCATATCATAAACGGCAGCCCCGTACCATCTTATCTGTACTTTACGACATCAATAATAGCAATAATAATAACACTTGTTTTCTGCAGCAGTAGCAAATTCGACCGTACACGGAAATATTGTTTGTCTCCGCTATTGACGTAGCTACTTTTGATTATTATGCGCTTTCAGACAACACCACGGACGGTGTCAGCGAAGAAGAAATCGACGCGAGCAATCAGCGGCCCGTCGTAGCGCCTTTACCGGAGGAACATCCGGTGAACCTCGCGCTACACACACCACAAGACGAATCCGATGTCGACCAACCGGGGGATTTATTATATAATATTATTGAATCATATTGATCATCACTTTGATTTTTAGCAGAAAAAAACAAAGTAAAAAAACCCAGCACAGGGGGGTCGCGGCACAGTTGTGACGTGGCATAGTTGGATCAAGTATAATGATATCTGACAGTGATTAAAATCACTATCAAAATAAAACGCTTCGATGCAAATCTTTAGATAGTGTTTAATTTTAAAAAAATGGTGTATTATTCCAAAAGCTACATGATCTGCTAGTTCCTTATTAATATCTTGATTAAGATAAAGTATGTTGCATGAAAAAGGGATTATTAAAAAATACTACTTCTCATGAAAAAATTGTATTGATCCATACATTTTTTAAAAAGTTATAGCATTATAAAGTTAAAAATGTAAAAAATAAAATCGAGAATTTTCAGACAAAAATAGCATTCGGTAGCCATTTTCACCACGAAGACAAGTCCAGAGGTCAAATTTTTTTTTTTCATAATTAAGTATATTACATTAGCTTTAATTTAAGATATATATAAAAGTGTCAGACCTCCGGAACATTTTCAAAAGTTAATTTTTTGTGACAAAGTTGTCCTTTTTAAGTCCCCCTGTGGGCAGGTTGTGTCAGATTTACAAAAAAAATACACTAAATGATAGGTAATGACATCAAGCATCTATAAAAAAAAAGTTATATTGATATGTTCATTTTTGAAAAAGTTATGGCAGTTTTAAGTAAAAAAAATTTCGAAAATTAGCGATTTTTTAATTTGTAATTTTTTTGGAGGTTTCCTCCATTTACGGGGAACGAGGGAATTTTTTTCAATTTTTGGGGGTAATGTCTTCGACTAGATACAATTTGTGACCTTTTGACGTATCGTTGAAAGAAATCCGTTCAGTGAGAGTTGAGAAAAAGTGATAACAGACACAAAAAAAAAAAACACAGCATAGTAAAACCAATACCTTCCAGATTCGCATCGAAGCTAAAAAGAAACCTTTACAGGCTTCTGTAGTGAAATTAGTCAATAATAAAAATTATTAATTAGTTTTTTAAATATTACATAATCAAACCCTTATTATTGTTTAAATTGTACAATAACTGTGTATTGATCTTGTATTAAAACTGGTGTATACAGGTGTTAGGCGAGTTTCTGACAAATCCTTATAAAAATATATTTATATAAGTATGTCATAAAATATAATTTATATAGTAAATGCTGCCATCTAACTGTCATTTATGAAATAATATTTTAATAACTCTGAAAACTAGATTACTGTAGTGTAAATTATTGTACGTTATAATTGTAGGTTATGTCTCAGTTATTAAACTCATTCGAAAGTTTTATTTGAAGTTTAATTCATTTTACTTGATGTTTATGACATTGTCATTGTAAAAATATATGAAAGTATCAATCATATCATCTTTTTATTTTCGAAATGCGTTGTTAGTTTTTTATCATATTAAATATTGATTATCTATCACTTCATAACTCTTGTATTAGGTGTTTTTTATTTTCACAGTGTAATTCTATATATTATTATAAATTGCATTTTATACTATTTATGGTAAGTTATGGCTGATCCTCGTATTAAAACCCTAAAAATTAAGACAGGCGTTGTTAAAAGATTGACTAAGGAAAAACTTATGTACATTAAAGAAACCGAACAACAACTGGAAAGAGTGGAGCAACTTAAAAAGTCTGGTGATGATTTTTGATTATTTTAATTAGTTACTAAATTCAACTCTTTTACTATAGTATTTTTCTAGAATATTTTTTATAACTTAAGTCTGTGTAGGGCTTGTATATTGCACAGGTAGATTATTTTAGTATAAGTATATTAATTTGTCTTTTTTCAGTAAATACAATTAAACTTTAAATACGGGTCATAAGAAATTTTTCCAAAACAAAATTAATTAGGCTTATAATTAAATAACTTATGTAAATATTAAATTTATTATCTTTTATAGTTATTTAAAAATTATCTCAAAAAAAAAGTTGACTATGTCTGATTAAAATTGTTCAAAAATGTAAAAGAAAAGATTTGAATAAAAATGTTATTGTTATATATTAAATTTCATAGATTTCTATAAATCCTAAAAAATATAGTTTTCAAATCTATAGCTACTGTGTACTACTAATTATTGTGGATTAAAAAAAAAGAACCAATTTTGTTTCATTGCTACGGAAATAAAGTATTGTTATTAATTATCTAATTTTTTTGAAAACCTAGATTTTTATGAAAATATAACAAGTTTAATGTTAAAAAAAAACATGGCTGGTCAAAACCATATGATAAATGACATAAATTTGATAAATTTTAGATACTGAAAAAAAATATATATATTTATATATATACATATTGGTATATTTATTTTATTGGCGGATAAAAACTGTTTAGATGAACCATTTAATTTACTCATTTAAAATTTTGGCTGTGCATTGGGTACATTGAAAAAATATAAATTTGATAACCTAAACAAACAGTTCTCAATAAAAATTTAAGATGAAGTCTGTGTCTCAATGTGAAATGTTTCTAGTCTTTGTGTGTTGATATAGGGATTTAAATCAGTTGCACTGTTTATGTAGATTTTTCCGTTCTCTGACACAAGCATAGATTTTCAGAAAGGATATTGAAAATAAACAGAATAATAATAATAAATGACAATTTCTGGTATATTGCAAGTGAGGGGGAGGAATCCTCTTGAAATACACCCCTAACAAAATTAAGTTTTAGTGAGCCATACAAACTATGATTAAAGGTGGCTAAGTAAATACCACAGATCAAGACTGTTAAAAATAATTACAATTATTTATAGGGTTTTTGTGAAGGGGTTCAGTTAAACTTTGTCATTTTTAGGAAATATATAAATATTATTAGAAAATTTTCATTGTGTTAGGGTTATCAATTTGGTTTTCTTATGTATATACTGATATACATATGAATGTATTTTATATATATTAATGTATTTTATAATATATATTTTATGTAGTTTTTTATTTATTGTGATTTTTAACTAAGTACCAATTACTACGAAAAATTAATTTGTTTTTGATCTCTTGAGAGTTCCTTATTTTTAACTTGACCATTTTCTTACAAAAATTATTTAATTAATTATAATAATTAAGTAACAGATTTTGTAATAAATAGGTATTGTTGTATAAAAAATTGTTATATAAGATTATATTTAAATCAATCGCCTGATGCAAAAATGAAAAAAGAACTTTTTTTTTGTTAGATGTTCCTGAGATAAAATAATACAAGTTATTTAATAATTTTTTTTTTTAGATGCCTTAAGTTACATATTATTCTTGAATTATTAGCTATGTAAAATTTTTTAAGTTCATCTATTATGATTTGTAAGGGTGTCAACTTGGTTTTTTTAAACGGGAACACATATTTTTAATTTAATAAATATTTTGAAGTTTTATTGTATAGTAAATGACATTTGAATTTTTGAAATAACTATAAAATTATTTGATATAAAAGGTTCCAATTTTTGAGATAATATACATCTATAATATATGAGGAATAAAAAATACAGGTAGCTAATTGCTTTCTCATAATGTTGCTATCGCAGATGTGTAGGGTTTTTTTTCAGTTATGACTTTATCAACATATACGCTCAAAGTATGAATATAGGGCACATTGTTCTGAAATAACATTTATAAATTCATCAACTGGCAATACAGAAAATATATCTATTAATAGTCATAGTTGAAAATAAATATTCCATATCTGCAATAATGACGTCATAAAAAAACAATGAAGTTTCTGTATTTGTAATTCCTCATATATTATTGATGTATATTATCTCAAAAATTGAAACCTTATAAGTTTTATATCTAATATGAATAAAGTTATGTTAAAAATTTAAATGCTATTTTCTTATACAATAAAACCTCAAACATATTATAAAATTCAAAATATTTGTTTGTATCACATGAGTTTTTCTCATGCGAGGAGAAAAGAATCGGAAGCCATAAGAAAAGTTATAGAAATTAATGTTGAAGGAAAAAGAGGTACAGGAAGAACAGAAATGAGTTGGAGGGATGTTCTTAAATCCAATATAAGGACTATACTTATACAATATAAGAATATATTTTAGTATGGAAAAAAAATTTTCGATTTTCATTTTGTTTTCATGGTAAAAATGTCTACCGTATGCTATTTTTAGGTAAAAATTTTCGATTTTGTATTTTATTTTGTTTTAAAATACCTTACAAAAGATTTTGAGTTAGAAAAAATTTTTTAATTATTTGATTTTTACCTCATTTAGATTCAATAACTTAAATAAATATCAAGGAACCCATCACTGTAGTCCCCCCTCATTTGAAGAAATTTCTTATTCATATTTAAGTTTTTTTAATATGTAATTTTTTTTTTGGTTCTCATTTATTTTCTCTGCTCTTGACCAATTTTTTTTAACAATACATTAAATGATCACAACTAATACACTCAATTGAGTAGATTTATTGTACAACATTTTGATTCGTTTTTTTAGTTAAAGTAAATCATTAAAATTAATTATGTTCTGAATAATTCCATTGTAGATTATTTTTAATCACCAAAAATTACTTAGAAATGACTACTATGATTTCTATATAAGTGATCTATTACAATAAAAATGAAAAAAAAATATTGAGCTTTTCTGTTAAATAATATAAATATTACAGTAAATAGTAATTATAAAATTTCCTGACTGCATATTAATCTTTAAGATACTATTTTTTTATACTTGTAAAATCTTCTATTTAATAATGTAAATTTCAAACTTGAAGTTGAACTTAAAGTTATGGTAAAAAATTCAACTTTTTTTATTAAAAATTTTCAAAATATCAACTTTAAAATACCAAAAAGTTGGTTAAAAATGATATTTTGCACTGATTATTTTTAAAATATTAAAAATTAAAATGTGTAATAATTTAAAGACAGTTTTTTGTGTTTTTTATTGTAATAAATCATTTTAATAGAAATATTAATAATTTCTACGTAATTCTTGGTGTTTAAATAGATGATACAATTGAAATATTCAGGACTATTTTCCTTGTAGTCCTGAACATACTATAGTTTTTAACTAATTAGTAATAATATTCAAATTATTGGTGATGGAAAACATATAATTGCTGATTTGAAATGAACATGAAAAATTTAATATTAAAGTATCTTTTTTGCTCTGATGAACATTTTTTTCAGACCATTTATTCATAATTAACAACAAATTATTAACGAAAAAAGTTCTGTGTTAAAAGTCATTCAATTTGTATATATTTTTTATCAATTCTCCGAAAAAATTACTATACTAAATTATTAAATATCAATTTCATACTACGTTGCATTGCTTAATAGGTATTTATTCATAATCTATACTTATAAATCAACTTATAATTAGGAATAATGATTAAAATAGAAGTTAATTTTGCTTTTAGAATAATGAACCAATTTCTTAAAATGAAAGACTATCTACAGATTTGCATCAAAGCAATTTTTGTGATAGTGATTTTAATCACTGTCAGATATCATCTATACTGGACCCAACTATACCACGTCCCCACTGTGTTGGGTTTTAAATATTCAAATGCTCTTTTTCTATTTATATATTTCTCTACATTATAAATTTTAAAGACGTTTTAAAAAATAAACAATACATTCTTTTTGTTGTATTATCAGGAATATTCACTTTAAATTATTCAAAGTAGTTATATAACATAACTGCTTTAAATATTTTAAATAAATTGTCCGTTTATCGAATTTTATTATATTTTAAGTTGGCAGTACTATTTATAAAAATTGCTTATCACATAATTTTGCCAAAGATAAGTGTATTTCCATTATTATTTAAGGTGTATCTATTATGTGTTGTATTCACTGTTCTACTCGTATTATTTGATAGGTTATGCTGTTATGTTATTAACAATTCATTTTTCGGCTAATGAATTATAGTGTAGTTTTCCTTATTATTCTTGATTGTTATAATATTCTATACCTGTAGAATATTAGGTATTTGTTTATAATTGATTGTACACTCTTAATAAAATATAAGTTTTTAAATTCTCTTAATGTGATAGTATGTTAAATTGTTTTATATTGTATTACATATAACTGACCTCACAACATGAAGGTAACAGACTTTATACTTACTGTTTTTTGCCCGATATTATTCTTCAGTATTGGTGTTAATTCTGTTGATCGTCATAATTTCAAAACTTGTGAACAAAGTAATTTCTGCAAAAGATGTCGCTCTATGAACAAAAGTCAAAATTCAATGTTTCATTTGGTATCGGATAGCATAATTTTAAATGATAAATATTTAGAAGCCATTATAGCAAATACAAATTATGAAAATGTGTTTTTGCGTATGAGACTGGATGGTCTTAAAGATAAAACACTTCGTGTACGTATAAATGAAAATGGAAATCCAATGTATAACAGATTTCAACCAGTTCATGCACTTGTATCAGAACCTATTTTCCAATCAATGACAATGGCTAGAAATGAAACAACTATAGAACTTGAACTAGAACAAAGTACCATCAAAGTATTTATTAATATAATTCCATTTAAATTAAATGTATATGTACATGATGAACTTATCATTGGAATCAATCATAATAATCTTATGCAATTTGAACATTATCGCCCTAAACCTGAAACTATTCCGGACAATGAAGTTGGTTCCTGGGAAGAATTTTTTAAAGAACATCAGGATTCTAAGCCTCGTGGACCATCTGCCGTTTCAATGGATTTTACTTTATATTCATCAACTCATCTTTATGGATTACCAGAGCATGCAGATTCTTTTTATTTAAAAGAAACTAGTGGTAGTGATCCATATCGTTTTTATAATTTAGATGTATTTGAGTATGAATTATATAATACGATGGCACTTTATGGGGCTGTTCCATTTTTGATGGGCCATGGAAAAAAAAATAGTGTTGGATTATTTTGGTTGAATGCTGCTGAAACCTGGGTAGATATTGCTGGAGTGAATAATAATGTTGATCATACTTCTGTTGTTGAATCAATTGTGAATTTAGTTTCTGGTTCTTCTGGTGAAAAGGAAGTACCTCAAGCTCATTTTATGTCTGAAAGTGGCATTATAGATTTTTTTATAATGCTTGGTCCAAAACCTATGGATGTTACTAGACAGTATTCCTTATTGACTGGAACTGCTCCTTTGCCACCTATATTTTCTCTAGCTTATCATCAATGCAGATGGAATTACAATGACCAAAAAGATGTGCATAATGTAGAAACTAACTTTGATGTTTATGATATACCTATGGATGTCATGTGGCTTGATATTGAACATACGGATAGTAAAAAGTATTTCACATGGGATCCAATTAAGTTTTCTAATCCTATTGAAATGATAAGGAATTTAACTAATAAGGGTAGAAAATTAGTAACAATTGTCGATCCTCATATAAAACGTGATTCAAATTATTTTTTGCATAATGATGCTTTGAATAATGATCTTTATGTTAAGAATAAAGATGGTAATGTTTATGAAGGTTGGTGTTGGCCTGGATCTTCAAGTTATTTAGACTTTTTAAATCCAAAAGTTCAAGAATATTATGTTTCTCGCTTTTCGTTCAATAACTATGTGGGTTCAAACGAGGATCTCTATATATGGAATGACATGAATGAACCATCAGTGTTTAATGGACCAGAAGTAACTATGCCAAAAGATTGTATTCATTATGGTAATTATGAACATCGTGATATACATAATATTTATGGACTTATGCAAGTAATGAGCACCTATGAAGGTTTAATTAAAAGATCAAAGGGAAATAAACGTCCTTTCATATTAACAAGATCACATTTTGCGGGTACACAACGTTTTGCTGCAGTTTGGACAGGAGATAATATAGCCGAATGGAGCCATTTAAAAATATCTATACCAATGTGTTTATCACTTGCTATATCAGGTATATCATTTTGTGGAGCAGATGTTGGAGGTTTCTTTAATAATCCGGATAAAGAATTATTTATCCGGTGGTATCAAACAGGAACTTACTTACCATTTTTCAGAGGTCATTCTCATATAGATACTAAACGTAGAGAACCCTGGTTGTTTGATGAACAAACTACAAGTTTGGTACGGGAAACTATAAGAACTAGATATAGTTTATTACCATTATGGTACACTTTGTTTAGAAATCATGAATTGACTGGTGCACCTGTCATACGGCCTCTATTTTTTGAATTTCCATTCGAAGATAATGTTAATAACATTGATAATCAATTTATGATTGGAAATAGTCTTCTAGTGTGTCCTGTTACAGAGCCTAATGTTCAAGAAATCTCAATCTACTTTCCGGGTAAAGATGAAGTTTGGTATGATAAAGATAATTTTCAGCCTATTAAAATTAATGGTTTTGTTAAAATACCAGTTCCAATCAACAAAATTCCAGTGTATCAACGAGGAGGTACAATAATTCCTATTAAACAACGTGTGCGCCGTTCTTCTTCTCTAATGAAAGATGATCCTTACACTCTTATGGTAGGTATTGATTTAAAGGGCACTGCTAAAGGCAGTTTATATATAGATGATGAAGATAGTTTTGAATACCGTGATGGTAAATTTATTCATTTAGAGTATGAATTTATAAATAATCAACTGATATCAAAATGTATCCATTGTATTACTTTAACTACTAATTCATGGTTGGAAAAAGTTATGATAATTGGAATTCCTTCTGTTTTTTCAAAAGCCAGTATACATTCAAAAGAGGGTAGCACAACAGAGTTAACTGTTTTGTATAGTGCCAGCAATCAAGTTTTAACAATACGAAAGCCATCTATCAACATAGCTCAAAATTGGACTATTATTTTACTTTAATCAATATTATATATATTGTATCATGAAGTTATTGATAAGGAATGTCTATAATTATTTTACTATAAATTTAAAATAGGTTTGAATAAATAGATAATCTGAACTGTTATTGGTAGAGAATTTTTTGTAAATTTGATTATAATACTTAATTTTGCTTAAATATATGTAATTTTTTTAAACTGTATAGTATAAAAGCTCTTTGTTTTCCTTTATAGTATAAAAGTTATAAGTAAACGTATGTTTTCATGTTCAAAATTTAATATTTAATAAATTATTTTATTGTACTAGTTTTTGAATTTCAACTTATCTTGATGAAGTCATCATAGGCGTAAATGTATGAAAATTTATATTTGGGAAACTAAGTTGATTTTTCCTCGTTCTAAAAATGTTTTTTTTATAAAAAGACATAATTTTCTATTATTATTGGAGAGGGAATACGGAAAATTTTAGAGATTGACGCGTATGGAAGTTATTTAATTTTAAGTATATTCAATCGTCAAACCTTACTTTGTGTAAAATCAGAATTTAAGATATTTTAATATAAAAAGAAATTAATAATTTTAAAATTTCAGAAATTCATGGTTTATTCTTATCAAAAAAAAAAAAAAGCTAATTAGTGGCATGATATTAATTTATAATTTAAAAATTAAACCCAAAGAAAATTGGTGTAAAAAAAAAATAGTCAAGTTTCTATTTTGAACATATATTTAAAAGACTGAGTAGGATATCCAATATTATAATATATTTTTAGTTTTAAATTTTAATTCATTAGTATATCAATAAATATTTTAAAAATATTGTAAAATATTGTAAAAAAAATTTTCTTTAAAGAACTTCTTTATAGGGCAAATTTTTACCCCTCACATATTTTATTTAGCTTGGCAAATTGGTTTAATAAAATTTATTTAAATAAGCTATATACTCTTTGTTAATATATTAATTAAAATGAATTAATACCTTGTAAAAATTATTTATATTTTACTTTTCTTAGAATTCTAATAGATAGTGGTGATTATTTTTAATTGCACAATGTTTAAATAGTTAATTATTGGCATTAGTTTAAAAGTATTAATATTAACTATAGTTCAAATCTTCCAAAAAAAATTCTGATACTTACAAATAAAAATATTTATTGTAAACATGAATTAATTATGTTTAGGAAGTGATGAAAGTAACATTAAGAAACAAGAAGAAGTTCTAAGAGAATCACAAATGATGGTACCAGATACACAACGAAGACTAAAAGCAGCATATGAAGATTTAAAAAGTACAATTGCTGATTGTGAAGAACTAAAAGATTCAGAAGATTTTTTGATTGCTGAAAATTTTTTAGCTGAGGCTGAAAAAGAAATTAAATAATTTTATCTTCTAATTTAATAACATAATAATACTAACCCGTACATTTCATTTTTAAATTTATTATTACATATAAAACTTATAATAAGCACACTTAAATTTAATGGCTGACCAAAATTATAACATGTGGTCTAGCACTTTTCATTATACACCAATGAGGCCTATGATTCCAGCTTATGATGCTAGATTTGGAATACCTTTTCCTCCTCCAACTTTACCTTTTACACAAAACAGAGATACTGCTAAAACAACTCAACAAAATTGGATACAATCACCTTATCAGCATAGCAAATACGAGCCAAATGTAATCATCAATGAGTTTCCACCATTACCAGATGATATTGATGAAGAATATGTTCGCAAGAATTTGTGTACTGTTTTAGAAAAACCAAAAGATGAGATTTCACAATGGATTGAAAATTGGTCAGCTAATAAAATAAACAAAGAATATCCTCAAAACAACGATAAATCTATTAATGATGTTAAAGTTAGTAAGATATTAATATTAATCTTATTTTTTATATTAATTAAATTCTACTTTTTTTAGATAAATGATATTAGTTTAAAAATTAAAAAATGCAAAGTTTTATTTAAAAATATGAGCAACATAAAACAAAAACTTGAAGCCAATGTGTCAACAATGACCAAAAATGAATGGGAACGAGATTGTTCAATTTGGAAATCAAATAAAGTAGGTATTTATTTATGATAAAAATTATTTAGAAATTTTTTATTTTTATTAATAACTTGTGTTTTTGTTAAATTAAAAAAAAAAAATTATAATATTTCAAGGATCAGCTAGATGCAATCATCAATACTTTAAAATTAGATAAATATGATATATCAGTATTAAAATATAAATTAAAGAAACGAAAAAAAAAACGAAATAGGTTGAAAAATTCAAAAAAACATCTAAAAGTTTTAAAATTACAACTTAAAGATGAAACTGAAAACTTAAACGCACAGATTGAATCATGGCAAAATGCTATTAAAGATAACATTTTAAAGTTAAAATTGGTAAATTATTCTTTTTTTTTGTTATTTTTAAATAATTGTAGGCATACATATTTTTTAGATTGAAGAAACAAAATTTGAAACCAGTGCTGTTCTCAAATGTGTTAAAGGAAAAATAGATGATGCGAAAAATCAATTATCATTATTTGATAATTTGGATAAACTAAGAAAGTTTAGGCTTCAAAACTGTGCCAATCAAAGAAAAAATATCAGATTAGAAGAAATTCTAAGTTAATAACTTAATTAATTAAATATAAATAGAGTGATCCTTTTTTCATAAATTAACATTTGTACTCATATGTGATAGGAGTTCGGTTGAATAATGTTTCATGATAATCCTATCTGTAACTCACCCTCAGTCTATATTTTAATATTATAACTTCCAAAGTACTGGTCTAAAAATTGTTCTTGTCTAATCATTTTCTATTAATTAAGCTAGTTAAATATATAGATTTTTTATTTAATAAAAGTTTTATACCCTTATTAGCTAGAAAGGATTGAGTACTTAATAATTAATATATATCAAGAAATATATATGCAACTAAAAAGTAAAAAAGAAAATTTTCTCAAAATAATTTGTGTTTTGTATTTAAGTATTTTATGGCATACATATCACTCTGTATAAATAGGTGCAACTAAAATATAATTTTAGGGGGTGTTAAACCTTTATATAATAATAAAATGTGAATCTAATTTAAAAAAAAAAAAAAGAGAATTAAAGTTTTATGACAATTATTTGTATAGGTTAATAAGTGTAGAAGTAAAACAATTTCAAAATCGCATCGAAGCTAAAAAAAAAATCAAATGTTAATCAATATAAATGTAAATTTAATAGTTTCAAACTTCATTTTTATTATAAATGTATATTTTTTCCTTTATTTTAATTATATAATAATACTGACAATAAGTATAAAAGATAATAATGTGAAATTTAACAAGAATATTTTGAGAATGGAAGCCGCCAACTTACAATACTCTTATTGAATTGAATTTTTTTAACTAAACTATTATTTTTCACTATGATCTCTACATTACTTTTTTTTAATCTTAGAAGAATTACCAGGTATTGTTTAAGTGACATATTATACAAATGTTAGGTTGCTTAATAAGAGATTGTGGTATAGAGTCTAATGTTTTTTTGCAATTTGCAATACTGTTTTTGTTATTAGTTTATATGCAAGGTATAGTTTGAAATGTAAGATGGTCTTGTGATTAGTCGTTATATTTTTCTGTATAATTTGAATCTTACTTAAGTTAGTTTTGTTTAGTGATTCTGCAATTCGATTTTAGTAGTATTTTGTTATAAATATACTTAGTTATATTTATTAGTTTAATAATTGAAACAAGTCTTCATCAATTAGTTTTTTTTCTTATGTATAATTAAAATTATAGATAAATTGAAACTAATTTGGCAAGAAAAACTTACACTGTACCAAAATGAAGAATTGGAGTTAAAAGAGATGCTTGACAAATCGAAGATACAAAAAAATTTAATAAAAGAAATTGAAGATCAAGAAAAAATAAATGATTGGAACAAAGTTTTATTTGGTCTTGATATTAAGAGTGAAGTAATATTTAATTCGCCTGAATTATTTTTTAAAATAAGGTAAATAATTTGATTTTGAAATCAGTTTCGTCATGTTCATGTATAAATAATACTTACTAAATATTATTAAATAGTATTTTGTGACATATTTTTTTAATTAATACTATTTTTTCTAAATTTTTTATGAGTTTTTTACTAGTTTTAAAACAAATACGTGTAACAGAATTTAAAAAAATTCATTATCACTTTAAATTTAATTTAAAAATATGATACATGTTTTCTTTTTCGATTTTTATGTTTTAGTTTCTCGCCAATTTTTGAAATAAATAAATTTTTTTTTATTTCCTATGAATGATATAAAATAAAATATAACACAAAAATTTAATTTAAAGCTATTTTGCATGAAATAAGAAAAAAACATAATTTTTATTTAGTTGTATATTGCTTCTTTTGTGAGAAAATTCCTTTAAAAATATGGGGTGTGATTTTACAAAAATAAGTTAGTTTTAAAAAGAAGTGTCTAAATAAATAAATTAAAATTAGATTTATCAAATAAGTTATATGTAGTATATTTCATAAATAATTACTATTAATATTAGTTTTTAAAATTCAACTTGTTTAAATATAGGCAAGATTGGGATAAATATATTATACCTGAAAACAGTACACAAACAAGAAACAGTAGTTGTATACCAATAGGTTGGATAGTACCATCTTCACCTACCAACTTAAGCTGGGCTGCTCATTTAGAAAAGACAGATTTAAAATAAACCCATTTAAATACTTTATTAATAAATAATACTTTTATTATTATTACAATTTTCTTTGTCATTTTGTATAAATAGATATAAATTAACCTATATTTGTAGTATATTTTTTTGATTATCTTTATTCATCAATTTAATATCAGTTCATTAAATTATTCGAACATTTTTAAGATGTAAAACAATTCCTTTATATTTGGAAAACTAAAATGTTTGTAATTATTATTCTATTTTACAATGACTTCCAGTTTAAAAATGTGAAGGCATTAATCAAATTATGAATATAAAATTCATTTAACAATTATTTAATTAATATCTAAGTCAATTTTTCTTAGTATTAAAAAAATTATAATATTAAACTATTAATAATTCATTGATTTATAAATTATTCATAAAAAATATTCTTTTTAATTTAATGTTTATGAAATATCTTTTTTTTTTTTTTTAATTAACGTAGCCTATTAAAATTATTTTTTAACTTCTTGATATGGAGTCCATTTTTCATACCTCCATTCACGGTTTACCCTGAAAAAAAATATAAACAAAAATTTTAAAAGTAGTAAAAATTAAAATGTACAGATACAATATAGGTCCATAAGAACTAAATACTACTACATATTACATATTGTTTATATATATTTAATATATAAAATAATATAATTTAATATTATAATATTGTATCTAATATAACATATTTGCATATGTTTATAAATACTATTATCTTTCAAACTAAACTTTTAGTTACTTTTTTATTAATCTATTAGTGCAATAAGCAACACAAAAATAACTTATTCTGAAATTGTATATTACTCTTTTAAGATAAATAATTAAACAACATCCACACATTTTATAACAACTTGAAAAAAATGAATTTATTATATAGTCAAAAGTATAAGACTTAATTAAATATCAAAATATTCACCTCATTATTCATGCTACCATATATATTAGTATTTGTAAAGTACCAAATAATTTATTGTTCTTAATAGGGTATAAAATATTTTAACTATTATGTTATCTATTTGAAACAAACATTTTTTTCGTATTAAAATTGTGTCCAACTTAGAATGACTACAATTTTTTTGTTGGGACACTTATTTAATCAAAGTTGACAATCTTCAAATTATCATTTTTAATAATTTTAGTAACAATTGTTTAATGTTAAACCAATGTTAGGATTTTAGGTAAAAAATGTCATAAATAGATCGTTCTATTAGTAAATTCTACCAAAAGGCTTTCATTTGCATTCTGAATAATATATTCACTTCAGGTATATCCTTGAAATAACTCTGATATAGTTTTATCAGATAGGGAATTATTTTTTTTGTGCTGCTAATAAAATATTTAATCATTATATTATATTAATTATTATTATTTAAAATGTTTAATACACATTATTGTTAAGGTTTAACAAATTTAATATGAACACTTTTAAATTTAGTAGTACTGACACTTTAATTATAGAATAAAAATTATTTTAAATTATTACCTACCTACATTGATGTCCACATTTAGTGGCACTACAATTCTCACATGGATAAAAACATCCAGGACAAGTTATCACATTGCAATCACATAAATCTTTTTTGCTTTCTAATAATAAACCATTCATATTATAAATATTTTTGTCTTCATGCCTTGAAACATACATTTTGTTTATTTTTATATAATTATTTATTTGTCTAAAATATATATATATAATTAACACTTGCTTTTCACAATCCATTTTCATAATTCTTGCTCTTAATTTATCATTTGGGTCAGTATTCATACTTCAATGATTCAAATTTAAATCAAAACAATAAAAATTTTTTCTTATACTTAAAGATTATTGATTGCAGTTATCAAACAAACTAAGAGTAAATAGAAAGATTAGTATATTTTTTTTTATATTTGATGTATGAATATCGAGTTAACAGATATTAAGTTAATTCATAACTTCAGTGAAGTTGATTAACTGTTAAATGTGTCAAAAGATCAAAAAACGTTAAATTTGTAGAATAATAGTTAGATACTATCCAAACCTTTAATCTACGATTAAAATTATATTTGTAGTCTCTCCACAAATTATGAAATATATTTACAAATATACTATATATAATATCTAGTCTATGGTTTCTTGTAGATGTTTTAATTAAAGTGTTATCATATATATACTGGTGATTATCTTATCAATAACAGTTTTAGCACTCGATTTTGTGGTGTTATGGTAGTATGTAATATCTCCAAGTGTTGGTTAAAAAGTACAAAGAGATGTAAGGTAGGCAGAATTTTTTATGCTAATTGCAACCTTGTAAATGGCTAATTGAAGTACAATTATTATTCCATTACGTACGTATTCCTTATATCATAAATTTCGTTATCAAATCACATTTTATTCTGTAGTTCAACATAAATTATTAGACTGAGAAAAACTTCGAATTATTTATTAAGTTCATTATCCAATGTAAAATTAAGTTTTTTATTTAGGAGTTTTTTTTTTTTTAATCTCGTACAATGATTCAGTGTCATAGAATGCTATTCACTTTTATGAAGACTTATGTCTTCCTAAAGTAATTATATTAATTAATTCAGTTATACTATTAAATGTCCAATTATTACCTTGAATCGTGTTTCATAAATGAGTTAGTTGTTTCTTATATTGATACGCAGGAATATAGCTTGTGTGATCATGTTTCCTAACAAGGTAATTATAATTATATAAAAAATTACAATAATTTATTAAAACTTATATTTTATTTAAGTTCAATAATTTGAATAAATCAATACAATTTTTAAAGTACAATATTAATAAAGTAAAAATTTTTATAGAAATTTGTATTTTAATTAGATTTATTATTTTGAAATTTGTGTATTTTGATGTGTAACAAGTTTGATTCTACTGAAATCTTAACAATTGATGTTTTTAATAATCTATTTTAAAAATTTAATAGTATAAAATTTTATATTTAAAATAGGCTCTTCTTTTTTATAGGATGAGTCTTATTCAAAAATAAATTCTAGAATTCGTTTACGGACAAAATTGAATAAAAATCAAGATTTGTTACCAAAAAATTTAAAAGATATTCAGCTTAAACAATGGGATAACTCTAAAAATCTTAGAGAAACACAAGCAAGTCCATGTCATTTTCTTTTAGGAATTGCTTTTTCAGTTTTTGTATATATTCTACTAATAGTATTAGAAAAAAAATTACCAGAACCTATAACTATAATTAATGAGCATAATCATACTGGACGTTTTGTTGCTGAAAGAGCTAGAAATTACTTAATTGATTTGACTTCTATGGGACCTAGACCAGTTGGTAGTGAAGCAAATGAAATACATGCTGTACAAATGTTACTTAGTGAAATAAAAAATATTGCTAATCAAGCTAATCCAATGAAAAAAATAGAATGGGATCTACAAAGAGTTAGTGGATCTTTTTCCTTGGAATTTCTTGATGGCATGACAAATGTATATAAAAATGTTCAAAATGTAGTAGTGAGAATTGGTCCAGTTAATACTTCTCGCCATAGTTTACTCATTAATTGTCATTTTGATTCAGTTTTAGATAGTCCAGGTAATTTAAGTTCATAATTTTGAAATTATTGTAATTTTATCTAAAAAAATGTTTATACTTCATAATAGGTGCAAGTGATGATGGAGCTAGCTGTGCTATTATGTTAGAACTTTTACGTGTTTTATCGCGTCTTAATGAACCATTAATGAATAATATAATTTTTCTTTTCAATGGTGCTGAAGAAAATATGATGCAAGCCTCACATGGTTTTATCACCCAACATAAATGGGCTTCTAGTATTAGAGCATTTATCAATATGGAAGCTTGTGGTGCCGGCGGTAAAGAGTTACTTTTTCAAGTTGGCCCTAATCATCCTTGGCTTTTAGAGGTATCTAAGTTAAATAAAATAATTATGTGTGGAGAAATAAAAGATTTCTTGTTTTAATTAATATGAATGATGAACTATTATTATTAAACTAATAGTCCATTAATGTCTATCAATGATTCTTATGATGAGGATTCTTAACTATTAATATTTTAGGATAGCTGGCTACCATAAAATTGCTAACTATGAAATTCTTATATTTAAAGAAAAATCATATATCTATTATATCATTTATATGAATACTATTAAACAATTTTTTTTTTTTTTTTGCAAAATATATTTTTACTCTTGCGTTAATTGAAAAAAATGTATTATTTAGGCATACTCAGATTCAGTTCCTTATCCACTAGCATCATCAATTGCTCAAGAAATATTTCAAAGTGGGATTATTCCAGGAGATACAGATTATAGAATATTTCGTGACTTTGGACGTATATCTGGTATGATTATTTAAATAATATGAATAATCAATTATTATTAATTTATCCTTTTAAGGTCTTGATTTTGCTTGGTCTGCTAATGGTTACGTATACCATACTAAATTAGATACTGTTGATAAAATTCCCCTTGGAACTTTTCAAAGAACTGGTGATAATATGTTGCCATTAATTTTAAATCTTGTGAATTCAGATAAAATTTCTAACATAGAAAAATATAGTGATGGCAACTTGGTATGAATGCATATTTAATGATACTTAATAAAACATTTTCCTTGATAAGTAACCTTTTTTCATTTTAGGTGTTTTTTGATTTTTTGGGAATTTTTATAATTCATTGGAATGAAGTAGTATCAGACATATTTAATATAAGTGTTATTATTATTTCGTTTTTAGTTATTGTTTATAATGCTAACCATAATAATATTAATGGTAAATCTAATGATTTCAATAAGTAAATTGTAAATATTCAAAATTAACTATTTTATGTTTGATGTTTTAGGGTTTACTGCTATAGATTACTTGAAATCTTCATTAAAGTGCTCAAGCATAGTAATTTTATTATGGCTGGCAACATTAATAACGGTTGCCTTAATGTCTTTATTTATAGTTTTATTGAATCATTGTCTTAGCTGGTTTTCTCAACCAATCTGGCTATTTTTTTTGTATGTCATTCCTACAATGTTAGTGCCAATATTATTGTATAAGCTGTTGGGACAAAAATATTTAAAAGTAAATAATTTACAAAGTATCTTATGACTTAATAATATTTGTTATATTTTCTTATTCCTTTGTATAGTTTTCATTTTTGTCATAATCAACATAAATTCAATTTATAAAAACTTTATTTTGAAATGACATTATCAGTAAAATTGTTTTAAATATAAGAAAAATTTTTTTTTAAAGCTGTATAATTTTTAGATAGGATATTTAAATTAGGTACACATGAGTTTATAAAGATATGATAAAAGTAAAAATTTAGTGCTTAAATATATTTTTAAATAATATAGTTAATAATTATTTAATATTATTCTACTATATGGGCTTGTGCTATAAATTGTAGATCCAATTAATTTTGAAATAAATATTTTTTAAGGTTTCAAAAAAAAATGTATTTTTAACCAATTTTTCAATTTATTGCATTACTCGCGATGGCAATCAACTGTTATCTATAATAATACTTTTGCTGTGTGTATTATGTCAAGTAAGATCTGGATTTATAGTTGCAATTTTTATTTTATGCAATACTATAAGTACCATTTTACAAAATAAGTTACAGAAGAATTCGGACAGTAAGATTTTTATTATTTATTTAGAATTTTAACTAGTTATGTATTTTTGTATGCTTAGGTCATAAAATGTTTTGGCTACATATGGGATGTATGATTATTCCTTTCATTTTATCTGCATATATGATAAATGCAGCACTCGTGCTAGTTGTCCCTATAATGGGTCGATCAGGTTCTGGAAACCATGCAGAAACCGTTATGTCATTTATAACGTCAGCAATGTTTACTCTTGTGTATAGTTTTTATGTAAGTTTATTAAATAAATGTATTAGTCTTTATTATCTGTAGTGCAGTGATGTAATAAAGGAATGGTTTAGTCTCTCCTCAAAATTTTGAACAATAAAACTTTGCTTTTATAGTGTTAGAAAGTTATTGCAAAATTCCTAATTATTATATTCATTATTATTTTCACGTTTTAATGTGATTAATGATTAAAATATCTCATAATAAATTATACCTAAGGTTTGCATCCTAAATAATTTTTTATTGCTATTATTGATTTATATTGATATAATATACTTAAATAACAACAAGAATTACCTTTAATAAAAACTTATACCCAAATTAATGGCTTGATACAAATACAAATTTATCAGTTGAAAAGTGTTGGGTTGGGTTATCATAAACATATGATAAATGTACAGAATATTCTAATTAAATCACTAATAAATGAAATATGATCAGCCTTCCTCCACAAAAATAAACCTTTGCTTGGCTTCCTCACTATGTTGATAAAAAGAAAAATGTTACAATTATTTTTTTTTACTTTTTCGTGTATTGGATAAACATATTATAACATAAATTTATAAACACATTATTTTAATAAATTGCTATTGTTTAATAATATGTTCACTAATACAGTTATTGTATTGCATCAATCTGATAGTTACATTTATCTACATTGTAGTTAAATTTTCATGTTCTTAAAAATTATTATTAAATAAATCAATGCAATATAATTATTTTTATTTTTCAGAGTCCCTTGATATTTTTACTTCGCAAAACATTTACAGTGTTTATTACATTAGCACTGATACTTTTAGGTTCTATATTTGTCTTAATTTTTACTCCATATGGATTTCCTTACTCTGGGGAACATGATAATTTAGCTCCTCAGCGATTTATGGTGGCAGTAAGTTATTTTTCACAATATTATTATGTTTTTTTTTAAGTACATACACTGTTTTTAGCATGTTGAACGGAGTTTTTATAATTACAATGGTACTTTACGTGATATTCAAAATGGTATATGGATTGTAGACTTAGATGTTAATAGTCCTTACTCAATTCAAAACTATGTACCCGAAATAAATAGTGCACGCAAGATTGGCCATGAGGAATGTAGTAAAGAGCTGTACTGTGGTTTACCATATTTCATGCCAGTTATTTCATTCATTTGGTTTGTTATATATTTTATCTAACTTTTATACTTCTAAACTAGAAACCTCTTTTCAGGCAAACACATTGGATTGATTCGGAACCATTAGATGTTAAAATTCCCTTACATTTAAAACTGACTTATAGAGATCAGAGATTGAACAATATTCAGAGACTTACATTTTCAGTTGTTGGTTTGTACATTTAAAATTAACTTACATAAATATTTTCTGTAAATATTCTGTAGATATAGCATATTTGAATATTAAATAACAAGATATGTTTTCTATTAACTTCAATTACAATTTTATTAATTTGATACATGAGTTACAACCATATTTATGATTATAGTCAAACTCTAATTTTGATACATAAGTAAAATTGTATTCAAATATATTTTAAATCCTTTTGCTATAGTGTTTTTAATAGCTCTGCTGATTTTGTTGTTACAGATTAACTAATTCAAAATATGTTTATTTTGACTTAATTTATAGTTATAATATATATATGTATATTAATTTATAAATAATGATATTTTAAATTCAATTAATTTTTAAAAATATACCTAAGATTATTATTTTTTTATGAATAGAGTAGCACTCCTAACTTAGTATTGAGGTCTTTCAAATTTTTTTATTTTAACTTAAACAATAAAAATAGGATCTAATATTTAGATAATTTTTTTCCAAATAGAATTTAAATAAATAAATTTTAGAAATAGTATCATTTTATTTTAAAACATTTTAGTATGTGAATAAAAATTGTATAAACATATATTTTTTAGGTCCAGATCATATAATTTTAGTTATATCTCCTTATAGTAATGTTAAACTGAAAGACTGGAGTTTAAGTACTGATAAACCACTCCAAGGACCTAAATGGAATGAACAGCAAACTTTTTTTGTTTATTACTCTTGTGCTAATGATATTATGCCGTGGGACTTTTGGATTGACCTTGAGGTATAAAATATATCTACATAAAATAAACTTAGATTATAATTTTTTAGATGTTTAAATTTTAATTGTGATGTTTTTTGTCAAAATATAGGTACCAGTGAACCATGTTGGTCCTCAAATTGAAGTAGGAATTTCAGGACACCGTATGCATGGGCCACAGCAAATTTCACCCCAGTTGAATACATTTTTAAAGAAACTGCCTAATTGGACTACAAATACTGGTTGGACTTCTTCATATAAAGCTTATACTTTATAATTAAAAAAAAAAGTTTTAATATGCATAATCATCAACTAGGTAATCAATAATAGATAATTATTGATTTGTGATAATTTTATAGTATAGGGATAGTTGAATAAGTCAGTCAGTTATTTCTATTGAACAATTTATTTTACTACTTATAAAATATGTAAAATTAATTAATTTTTTTTTATATATAAATGCCATTAATATATATATATACAAGATTAAATATTACAAATGTTAAAAAAAAAGACTTTAATGCTGTATAATTTTTCTTTAACTAAGGATATTACTGGTAGACATAACTGTTGCATCAACAAGCAAATTATAATCTATGTCGGCTAATACAGCTAGAAAATAATGAAATTCACAAATTTAGTAGACATGAATATTAGTAAAATAATTATTATTTTTTAATAAAATCAAACCTTTGGCTGTAAGAAGTTCTAAAAAGGTATCTAAAGGTGACATTCTATGTTGTGATGGAAATACTAAGGTTGTACCTAAAATATGACTCAAATAAAACACAACTCATATATGAATCCTTAAATGTTATTTAATTGAAAATTTAAATTTAAATTTAAGTTATATTATCTGGAAATGTTTTATCAATTATTTTTCTAGTTAAAGAAATTGATATTCATTAGTTGAATAATATTCTTAATATTTTATTTCCAAGTCAATGAAGTAACATATACGGTTTTAACAATAAATAAATAAAAAATAGATTATTTTTAATACAGTATAAGAATTTTTTTCCCTTGAACTTCACAAAAAACTAGTATTGCTTTTTAAAGAAAAACAGTTATTATTTTTTATAACTATTTAAACTAGGATAGAAAATGATAATAATGACGAGAATGTAAGACACAGGATTAAGTGTGGGTGGTTGAAGTGGAAAGAAGCGTCTGCTGTATTACGCAATAAAAGAATTCCAATGAGGATGAAAGGTAAGTTTTATAAGACTAGTGACACCAGTTATGATGTATGGTTCAGAGTGTTGGATTGACAAGAAAATAGAGCAAAAAATGAGAGTAACAGAGATGAAAATGCTTTGATGAGTAAGTGGTGTGTCTAGAGAAGATAGGATAAGGATAAGATGAGAGAAAATAGACTTAGATGGTTTGGTCATATTATGAGGAGAGAGGAATTGGAAGCTGTAAGAACAGTTATATAAATGAATTTTGAAGAAAGAAGAGGTAGAGGAAGACCAAAAGAGATGGAGGGATGTTATTGAAAATGATATGAGCATGGCTGATGTAAGCATAGATGATGTAAGAGATTAAAGTAAATGGAAGTTTAGGATAAGGGTAGCCACTCCAAGTAGGTGGGATTTAGGCGAGAAAAAAGACGAAGAAAGAAAATGAAAATATAATATATATTTGTTGTAAACTTATTGGTCTCGATTGAAAATTTAATGAATACTATAGTAAATAAAATGGTGTGCGCTATTACAATTTTACATAGAAAAACTTTTGATTTGATTAGAAAATTTTTTTCTTTCTTTACCTTATTAGCTAATAGATTTTAAGTAATTTTTTTATAAAAATTTTGAATTTTGATGATTGTTCTTGGAATGAGTAAGTTATTTCAAGTATTCATTATCAATAGCATAATAACATTATAAAATAAGAGAATTTTTTAATAAAAAAAATAAACTATTATTAATATTCACAAACTTTGACGATATTTTGTATGGCGTCGTTGAGTGGGTCTAGAACTTATTCCACTCAAAATATCAGCAGTATGTTCTCGAGCTCTTAAAATTGTAGAAACTGAGTGTGACCATTGATTCATTAATCGTTTAGCACGAGAATGAGGCAAATTTTGTATAAGATCCAACTTTTTGACAACTCCTTCTTTATCGTCTACAATGTCTACAAATCATACATTATAGTTAAAACATTTAAACAAAACTAAAATATTGCAGAAATAATATTAAATGAAACTTAAGTAAATACTTAAATACTGTAAATATACTGTATAATCAAAAAATAATAATCCACAAGAAAATAACTAGTGATAAAAATAGCACCTGCTACTCATCACCTCTAATTACTTTAAATTGTTAATGACAAGGTAAATGAGAAAAAATTTATTTGTTTAAAGTTATTCCCAAATTAGCCGATTTTTCAAAATTAATTTATTGAATAAATAAATTATAAGTAAATCTTATTGTGATACTTATTTTATTTAAACTGAATTAAAAATACACAATTTTTTTTTTAAGAACTTATAATTATATAAAATTTAAAATAATACATTACGCACCTATTAAAATTTTTTTCATTACATCTATATTTAAAGAAAATGTGTTGCAGCGAATATGTTGATTAAACATATTTTGTGGTAAAACTTTATAACCAAGATATGTAATAAATGAAGAAAAACCTTGAGGTAAAGGAAAAGCTAATGTATCAATTGCATGAGCATAACGTTGTAATATTGTAAAGAGTGATTTGCGCTGATCTTCATCAATGGTATCACTAAAGTTATGAAATATTAATTGTAGAACTAGAATTTATTAGAAGTTAATTTATATACATTAACTGAAAACCAGTAAATTTCTGTAATCTTGTGTCTACACCGCCAGCTAATGTCAAATGAGCACACAGCAAACGTGAAACTTCTAACTGTGATGTAACATACTTAGTAGCAACTGCATGCACATGCATTGCATTAGGTTCTGACATTGATCTATTGCGTAATTTATTGGAGTGCATTGAACTTTGTTTTAGCAAATGCATACTTAATTCACGTAGATTCTAAAACATTGACAAAAAATCAGTAATAAATTATTGATAAATAAAATTAGATAAATTTACATAAATTAAAAATTGAAAGTTAAGTTAAAATTGTAAAAAATATTTAAAAAAAAATAAAGGAACAAAATATTTGCTGGATCAAAAGTTAGTAAAGATGTCAGATCCTGGTAGGAACTGTATGTAAATAATACATAAATGTAAATAGATTAGTATCATTTGCCACAATTAAGACACAATTGGTTAGTTAAATCACTTTTTCAATTTTTCTTGCAAATTCATTAAAATTTTAATGATATATACAGTAAATTTTTTAATGACATAATTTATTGAATACTTACAACTGATATAACATGCTCTTGTTTACTAGCAGTAGAAGTATCTACTTCAATAAAAGGTAAATTTGTAGAAAAAAATTGTAAGGAATGTGAAATTTCAGATATAGCAATGTTTGCCATACTATTGGCTAGCATAGAACCTCCAGGAGACATTGGTGTACAGCAACGTGACAATACTTCGGGCTAAAATATGTCAATTTTTATAGGTTAAACATATAAATGTATCAAGAAATAATAGTTTTTACTTGATAGCAAACTAATGAAATATTAAGTTTGTTAGCCACAGAAATGTTTGAAAAACGAGGAATTTCTGGTCTACTTGAAGCATTATCTGCTACTGTTGAACCACCTGGTAAAAGTTCCCATAACCTGGTCCATAAATCATCTCGGAAAGGAATTAATCGTTGACGGGGAGATAATAACATAACTCTAGGATTTTCTAAAGATTCTTGTATCAATGTTAATGTATGACCATTTATCTGTATTAAAATATATTAAATTAATAAAATAAATACTAATTATTATATTAGAAACTATATTGAAATAAAAATTTATGAAAAAAAAATGTAATCAATACTAGTTTATTTTGTTCCCTTCAAAAATATTAATAAAGTTACATTATTTTTGCTTAACAACTACAGCTTTTCATATACCAATAATGGTACGCATACCATAGGTTAAGAAATATTACTCCTATTAACCCAAATAAAGAAATAAAGTATTTATTAATATTTAAGTATTTTTTTTTTTAATGTATGATTACTTTCATTTCTAAAGGTGCAAAATAATTAGATATTGTAATTGGCAAGTATCTGGCAAGACCAACTGCATCTGATAGTAAATTTTGTTTAACTTGAGCATATGTATTTCCAATAAGAACTTCTTGTAGCAATTTTGAACAATTGATATTAACTACATTGTCAATAATTGAGTTCAAAAGCTAGATAATTTAATTATTAATACAACAATGGACTAAATATTATATACATCATGTGATTACTTGATGAACAATATCTGTATCTCTTCTATGAACCATAAAGTAGTGTAGTATAGCTTGTTGATTGTTCAAATTATTATCTGGTATTTTGAAAGCTTCAACCAAATGTTGTTTTGTAATTTTTACTTTATAAATAATTGCTGTAGATAAATCTATCACTGTTCCTGCACTCCCTATAGTTGTTGCTATGTTACTCCTTCTACATCTTTTTTCATTTTGATTGGGTACAACAATATGACAACTAGGTTCATGATCAGGACCAACATCTAATAATAGAGTGCAAAGATTCGGAAAATGAACCATGATATGTTGGTCTAGAAAAATTTTAATTATTTTAATCTTTTTATTTAATATAATAAAAATAATTATTTTTCATAGAAAAAATGATTTATTCTGTTAAAAGTTCTTAATAATCAGGAAAGTTTAATAAAAAAAAATGTTAAATAAAATTCAATATTTACCTCCTTGCATGGTGAATATGGGTCTTGATTCATATGCTAGATTTATAGGTATATTGGCTATATTACAATGAACTACATTGCCATGGTGAAGAAGAGTTACTGAGAATGCCATATTTACACTTTTCAAATCATTAGCAGCTAAAGGGGTACTTATGCCCTAAAATTTTACTATACATGTTATTAACGATAATAATAGTATTTAAATAAAATTATTATGTGTTAAGTTATGTAATAATAATTAAACTCTAATTTTTTTACTAATATTATTACAAAAACAAACACTTTTATTTTTAATAATATTATTGAAAGCTTGCTTATAAGTTATAATTGATTAAGTGTATACATTTTAAGAGAGTATTTGACTTCCAATTTTTTATGAATGTTTTTCTTTAAATTAAAGATTAATAACTTAACATTTTTAAAATTGTAGTTAAATTTAGTAACAAAATACTAAACTATTTAAATAATGTATTACTATGTATGTAATATAAAACACATTAAAAATCATAGTTGTAATATTATTTTCCTAATATTTTTTTTTTCCTTTTTTATTATTACAAGTAACAATAAATAATAATAATAGCTTGATAATTTAAAAAAATAGCGTAACAGTAGTTCACTGATATTTATTTAAGTAACTAAACAAATAATTCAACTGCAATTATTTAATTTATAAGCAATTATAGTATGAAACAAAAAAAGAATAAATTTATGCATTTATAGTTATCTTTTATTAGCATAGTTTGTATAGGAATTCTAGGAGATTCAGCCACCATAGTTACATTAAAGTCCCATACGAAAAAAAAAAAGATTTTTGGAAGCAAAACAATGTTCTGAGAAGCTTCTTCAGAACAAAGTGATTTGATCTTGTGAAACATTTTGTTAGTTGGCTAGGATGAACCTACAATTTTTTGCTTTAAGGATTTTCAAAACATATCTACTTTTAATTGTCTGTCACAATCCGATGAAGGAACAATTTTATTTGTGTCTCATAAGCAAAATTTCACATTTACTTTGGTTTTATTCTATCGTTTATTTCATAGATTTAATGATTTTCTTTCTAAAAACAAGTAATACTTACTTGGTATAAGTAATAATGGCAAACAGCTACAAAACCTCTAGCATCTGAAAGTACTCGAATATCCAGCATACTATCATGTACACATAGTGGAACAGGAATATCAAAATATCCATTTGGAAGATTTTCAGCTGTTTTACTTCTATTAGGCAAATTTAAAGGAACATTGAACTATAAATAATACTCTGAATTAATATCAAATAAAACATTAACATGCATAATAAAACAAATAATATTATTTTTCTTGATTTCTCTGAACATTTTTTATTGTACCATAGTATTAAAATAAAAAAAATAATAACTAATTAACAAAAATTCTGAAAAGTACTAACTTTAATTAACTATCCTTAAAATTTGGGAAATAAGTATACAACCTTACTTAATGGTATCTTTACTCAATTCTCAACACTAGTATTAAAATAATAATTTTACTCTGATCAGGCCAAAGTGTTTAAACCAAAGGGCTAGAATTACATTTCATCAACTGAAGAACTCAAATACAATCGTCCATAGATACTTATTGAAGATTGTACATTTAACAGCTTTTGAATTGTTAATATATTAGTAATGATATACTGCTAAAATCAAATAATGAATGATTTTCGGAAAATTCACATCAAGGCTATCCAGTTTTTATTTTATAGTGAATTCTAATCTACATTTATTTCTTATTTTTAATATTTGCTTAATAAAAAAAAATGTATTGCAATTTTTAATCATTATATTTAAATATTAAATTATTATTTGAGAAAATTTAATACTTGGAGTAGGTAACTGAAACAACAGTTAAAATATTAATCAACTCCAAATTGGCTATTTTTAATTTTTAAAATGATCATAAATTAAATTTTTTTTAATCAAAATATTATTCAAATCAAAAATAATTGAAATAAAATAGGATTAGAAGGTATTGAGTGGTAGATATTTTAACATTAAATTATCAAGTGTCATACTGTATATTGTTAGTAATTTAACAAAATTAATTTTTTATACCACCGTTTCATGATGAGGTTCGTCATGAAATTGCAGTGCTGATAGGCTTGCATCACTAGAATCAATGTTAGATGTACTTGAATAATGTATGTAAAATAGACACTGGTATTGCGGTTCCCATTGAGCCCAAGAAAATTGGTTTACTACTTTTTCTTGTTTTTTTACAATTAGTATGTTCTGTTAATTAATAATATAATAAGTATCATTATGTTAAGAGAAAATAAAAAATTTGTACTACAAGTATGAACTAGTAAAATTAATTTTAAAAAAAATAGTGGTGTATTTATGGAATGGGTCTTTGAAGTACCGACCACTCCATTTGACATAATTTATGATAAGGAAGGGGTAATAAAAAAGTGAACTACTATACTGTTCTATGACATAAAAATTATCTGGATTCCATAAAAAATATTTAAATACACCACTGCTTGGAAAGTAATAAGCATTATTTAAGTAAAACATAAATGGATATGATAATTATTATTACATTCCTTGCATTATATTTTGTACTAAATATTAAAAAAAAAAAACAGTATAAATAATTAATTTTAGCCATAAAGTCATAACATGAGTTTTGTTATAAAATTAAAAAAAATTTAATAAAATATGTATATTTTCACTTCAGTTTGCTACTTTATCTAATCTGTAAATTATATTGAACTTGAAAAAAGCCATTAACTTCAATACTAAAAAAAAATACTGCTTCGTTCAAAAGGTGTTTTTTTTTTTAATTTAAACATAGACTATTAAAGAAACAATAAAATATTATCAATATATTTTTTATCAAAAGAGCTACAATAATACAGATAAACAAAAATGTATTAAACTACAGCATAAATGTATGAATATGCATTAAACCTTTAAGCATGCAAATAACCATTTTGATAAATGAAAAAATAATTGGTGAATGAATTTGGCCAAACTTGAACATTTAAAAACTTTAAAAATTAGGGACATTTTATAAACATTGGCATATAATAATTTCAATTATTCTTTTTAATAACGTGCACTAATAAAAAAAAAATACAATGGCAAACACCAAACTGTAAAAAACACTAACTGTATTTCTTAATATTTTAACTGTACAAAAGATAAAAAATTAATTATATAATTCTATAGATGTATATATATATTATTTTAACATTAAGTCCTTTAAAAATGAATACTATATATTTTATTACATACAATTGCACATATAAAAAAGTAACATATTTTCAAAGTTGTTCTTCAATGGTCAAGTTGAAAAATCTCATAAATCATTATTTATTAATTTTATAAGAGAAACAAAAATAATTTTGATTTTGAAATTGTTGCAAATTATTGTTTCGATTACATAAGTTTGAATGATAATTTCTTTTTTAGTGATATTACTATATATATAAATATGTTTAAAGTGCACAATTGTATTAATTTTTTTGTTATTATTAATAATTAAAAAGTATAAATAATTAATGTACTCAAATACAATTCAATATTTTTCAAAAAATATATTTTTTCAAATATTTGAAATGTTAATAATAATTATAAAAGTTGCTTAGTGGTTTACCACATAGCCAATGACTTTTAACAATAAAGTATTAACTACTTTATTGTTACAAGTTAAACAATTTTGTTAAAAATTTTTGTGAACCCTAATATTTTTATTGAATTAAATTACTCTAAAAACACGAAATTAATTTTCAAATAATTATTTAATCTATGAAAACACACCTCATTGAAATTTATTATATTTTCTGCCAAGTGGTAAAGTATGATAGCTAATATGAAAAGTATACATTTTAGTAAAATTAAAAATTTGATATCCATAAGGTAATAAATATATAATAATACACATTTTAATTATAATTTATATTTATATATAAGTCAACCAGGAATAGATCATGTTCTAGTACTAAAATAGTTTAATCATTTAATGAAATATATAATACTAAAAAATAATATATTTTTTTCATTAATTCTGTAATTTATTTGTTTGCTTGGAGCTATAAAGATTTAACCATTTTCTTGACAACAAGATTTTTTTTAAGAGAACATTTAAGTATAAATAGATTTTAATTAAATTAATTATATTATATGTAAATACATTTAGAAGCTAAGTTGGCTTAAGTCAAAGGCAACTTTTTTTTAGGGAACGCAATTTTTATTTTAAAACATATTCCACTAAAAATTTAAATATAACTATATTATAGATTAAAATTAATGGTTTAGATACTATAGACATTAACACCGTACAGTAAAATTATGTATGGCAGATGTCATAATAGTTTTAAGGGATAGATAAGTACTAGAACAATGTATAAACCCCATTCCCTATATTAAAATTTGGGTATATTCCTTTTGTTGAGAATTTTGATAAGTGACAAGAAAATGGGTGTTTTTTTTAAACTATATCACAAATTATTATAAATAACAATAACTTACATGTTTCATGGATAAACAATAGAAATCTTTCATTTTCAGACTGCTTTCTTTTTTTATATAAAAATTGTACCATTGTTTGTCGAGGACTACTTATATTTAAATTCATTGGGACTGCATTTGATTGTTTTAAATTTAAAAGAAATGCATGATAATAATCTGTATGTCCTTCAAACAATTCTTTAGTAATGTAAGCTTAAAAAGAAAAATCAAAAAAAAAATGTACAGGTATTCAATATATGACTATTATAATATGATTACAAAAATGGCTATTAGTAGTTATTTAACATTTTATTTAGTTAATTATCCTTCTTATTGTATAAAAATAAATATAGGATTCCATTTAACTTTTAAAAGTATCTATAAATATATTTTTTTGTTTATTATAAACTTAATATTTATTATGAATTTAAAAATAAATAGAATTATAATTGTTTTTTTTTTTATAAAAAAAATCACATACAACAAAAAATCAGGAATAGTAATTGTAATAAATCACATTATATATAAATCAATAAGTACTTGAACTTTACTGATCAATATTTATTTAATAATACCTAATAAGTAAAATCAATAATTTTTTTTAATTTTATACCAAATTTATAAAATGTATTTTTTAAAATACTCTTTATTATAATGTGAATTTTTTCAAGAATTCACAAATATTAAAAAAAAATATTAACACGTTTATGGACAGTCACTGCTATAGCAGTCATTGTGTTTTAAGTCATAATTTCACTACAACTGCTATAACAGTCATATGGTATAATAGTCATATGGTTATACGAGTAGAAAAAAGTCACGAGTGGACTACAACTGCTATAGCAGTTACACTTTTTATTGTTTTCATTGTTTTTGTATCATATTTATAAAGAAAAAAGCTCTGATGCATTTTTTATTCCAAACAATTATTAATGAGATATTAAAGTGAATCTATAATTACAACCAAGAGCGTAACTGCTATAGCAGTCATGTCCGTCAATGTGTTAAACAATTTTTTATCCAGGGACTAATTTTTTAAATTTATAGGTAACCTATAGTGTTCATAAAATTGATAAAATTTAATAGTTTAAGATAATAATATCCTGTTAATAACTAATTTTTAATGATAAAGAGTATCTAGTAAATATTAAAATTATAATATTTATTTTTAATTTTAAAATATTTATCAATTAAATGTTGATTATATTTACACAGTTAAATATTAAAAATTAATTGAAAGCATTAGATAAAACTCCAATGTTTTTAAAACTCAATTTTCTTTCTGGAAAATTATAATTGTAAATTCTGTTTCCTCATTTGATCATTATATAAATTAAATAAAACTAGAACAAATATTATTAAACACAGAGACACATCTAAAAATAATTATAAAGAAAATTTAATTCTGTTATTGTTTGAGTTACTCATAAATTTTAAGCTGTTGCACAAGAAATCAATTACATTTTTAGTCTTTAAAGATTTAATTTATTTAAATCAAATAATTTTTTTTTAAGTAAGAATTTCAAATGTAAAATATTTCCATTGCTCCTTAAAGTTATAAAATAACTAAATTTAATATTTATTTGTTATAAATCTCAAAGTTTTATAGAAGTTTTTTTTAAAGATAAAAATGAATAGAACATTTAATGCTTTAATTGTAAATAATAAAATTATACATTAGTGTAAATTACCTATAACAGAATTCTTGTAGTTTATGGAAGCTTGAATAATGTTAATTGAATGTTTAAGTGTAACTAACACCTGTTAAAAGAAAAATATACTTACACTTATACAAATATTAAAATATTGTAAGTATAAATTGAACTTTTACACTTTTGTGCATAAAAGATTCTATTTAAACAAACTAGGATTAATAATGCTGAAATTAATGAAACATATAGTTCAATAATAATAATAATAATAGGAAATTTAAATGTATGATATAATTATTTAATAATTAAGGTAACCAGTTGAAAGATAAAGGGTTTATTACAATAAGGAGATTATTTGATTATTTAACGTCATCTCTATAATCTATTGCTTATGCCAGAGGACAGGAAAACCTACATAGTCCAGTGCAATAAAATCGAACTCTGGTATTTACATGTCAGGACACAAGGTGTTACTGATTGAACTAGATACCTACCTAAATATGAAGATATATCCATATTTTTTTAGATTTATAAAACCATAATTAAGTTTTTAAATCCTTTGTGATACAATGGAGGCTTGGTCTTTTTGTTAATTAATTTAATTTATTAACTATTTGAAAACTTTAGTGCAAGTAAATTAATTTTACTGGTATCAATTCAAAGTTATTTTTATTAATTACCTTCTGTCTACAGCAAGCCCCACTATTACTTTTTTTTTTTAGTTAATTACGCTATACTTATGGTAAAATCTAATATTTTTTTACTTGTATTTTATTTATTGTGTAAAAAAACATTCCAATGACAGTGGAGATTTCTCTGCCTTTTTTAAGATCCCAACAAAGAAGAAATTCTCCATTTTGTTCTTGGCCTAAAATCTTACATTTTTTTAAATCTGTAAAAAAATTAAAATAGTCGATATAAATAAGTAAATATTATTTTCATACAAAAAAAAAGATTTAATTTTTAACCTTCTTTGTCAATTTCTAAGAGCTGTGCAATTACATAGGAAATATCACATATTTTATGAAATATTGAATTCATTATATTTAAAGGAAATTATGTAACGTAAATGCTTTAAAATGTAGCTTTAATGTTTCTATCTAAAGTAATCTAAAAATACAAAGGATACAATTTAATATCATAATTACAATATCATACAATTGTTTTAGTTGATTTAAGTTATTAGAGCGAAAAACAAAAGCTTATCAGTTTTATATGGAGGAGAGTTTTTTGAAACGGACTTCCAGGGAAAAGGCACTTAAAAGATAACCCAAGCACCCGTATAGTTATCAATTTTCATATTACAGATCAATATACTATGATTGTTTTTCAAGTCCATATTTTTGATGAGATTACTTTTATTACTTTTAGGTGATTTAACAAAAATACAATATATATATATATAAAACGGCCTTAAGAGATGTCATATATTCATTTATAACTATAGGAGTCATTAGCAAACTTGTGCTATAAAAGACATTTGTGTATATATTTTTTAACTAATCAAAAACTACGAAAACAAAGTATTTTATGATTTCAACTATGGTTAAATTTTTTCTAGATAATCTAAAATAAGAGAAATAAAAAAAAATCCTATAGATAATTTTGTGATATTTTTGTTGATTCATTACTGCAAAAACCAGGGACTATAGACCGCAGACCTATATAGGTAAAGACATTAAAGGGCCCATCATTTTTGGCGTATTGTTGATAAAAAGAAAAAAATTTTGTTGATATTATTAAACAACACACTGGGTACAGTAATATTTTTTAAGATAACAGTTTAATGCATTTTTACTTATGTTAGTATAGTACAAGGTCAAAGGGACACATTCCTTTCTCGATTGTGTTGTTTTATTCAATGCAGCCTATTGTATACATGTTTACAGTTTAGTAGAGATGGGATTTTTGACTCACTCATATGAATTAGTTCACTCAAATGAGTTGACTCACTGAGTCAATTCCAAATCCCAACTGCCAAATCGTCGAATCTTTAAAGGCGCGATTATGATTCGTGAGTTGTAGAAGTTTGTGGAACGCGAATTACAACTCGCAACTCGCAAGGCATACTTATAGAGTGCCTTCTAAATGCGCCTTAATAGTTATCTTAGCTAGATTAATATCAAATATGAAATATCAATGAATTATTGTTTTACACAAATGTGAATAATAATTTATTTTACTCATTGTAAATAATTATTATTTATACTACTATTGTAAAATGAAATGTAATATTGCTATCAATAATTTTTTATTCATTATTTGTTTATATATATTGGAATTAAATTAAAGCGCGAAAGAAATGAGAATCAAATTCAAATTGTATGTATATTATGGAAAAAGTAATTGGTTATTACTAATTAATAATTTTATGAGATAATGGGCCTCAAACCCTGATTTTTACCTATAAGATGGTTGAGCTAATTTTAAATTAAAACTTCTAATCATTCAATAGTTTGATTCCTTTTTTCTTCTGTTAAAATTTTAGATTCTCAATACATACCCACAATAGTTACATAAAAAGTAATTTATTTGGTTATTTGATATTTATAAAATATTTTTCTATTAAATTGTTTAATATTTTTACTAATTATATTTAAATTTGTTAATTATTATTGAAATAAAGAGTAAATTTAAAATCTAAAAAAACTATTTTTTTATTATTAACATCAACACATAGATTTATTTATGTGTTAAATTAGGTATACAAATACAATGTAGGTATTATCTATGTTTAATATTTAGTGCATGCAGTGAGAAAAATAGGTCTCTTCTCTCGTATATTTCAAAATTTTCTTGTATGCAATGACAGGTCTATTCTTGAATGAATATTGTTCTAAAAACTGGCATAGTATAATCTAGTCTCATTTATTTAAAATTTTACTCATTGTGTCAACGCTGTTTCCTGTGATTACAATAAATCTTGTGCACAAAATCGAAAATTGTGAAACACTTTATTTAATTTACGAAGGTATTTTATTTCATTTTAAAATGAATAAATCAAGTGTTATTTGTGTGGGGGGAATTTGGGATTTTTTTCAACTTGAAGCAGTTAATATTCATGTAAAGTGTGGACTTGGTCGTATAAAATTAAAAAATAATCATTCTTCGACTTCAAATTTAATTAGACATATTAAATCTAAGCATCCATTAGTAAATTTATTAAATAGACTCATGTAATAGAAGAGACTATTGATGACCCAAATATTACTCCATCAATTCTACTTCTGTAAGTTAAATCTATATATCACAATTCGCATGATTCAGAATTTATTGATAAGACGTTTTAAACTAAATTCAATTCTTAGTAGTCCACACTGAGTCATTGAGTCACAGTACCATGGCACACTGATTCAGCTCATTCAGTTCACCTAAAAGAGTCAACTTTTTGAGTTGACTCACTCACGAACTACCCATCCCTACAGTTTAGTTGTAGTTCGTTGTCTATCGAATAAAGTGACCCTTTCCCGTACACCTCTTATATTATATGTTTTGATATTTTATATTATACACTATTATATTACGAATAATTTTTAAATCTTTTAATTGCATAACCTATTCCTAATCATTAATAACATAAATTACAACACTTATGTCTGCCAATAAATGTATTTACTTTAAATTAGCAATTCTCATCCTTATTATTTCCAAATATTACCTTTAAACTATTTTTCATCAAACCAAAAATAATAAAATCAAATTTAAGGAAGTAATTAAAACTTTTTTAAATACTTGTGAACCACCACCCATAAAAAATTCTGAATACAGCACTTTCCCTAATAACTTTTTTTACCTAAACTCAAAAATAAATATTTTGTATTGAGTCTTTAAATACGAAACAACAAAATAATAAAAATAATTGGTTGTATATGAAAATAATATTTATTTTAATAATAATGTTACGTTTTTTTAATAGAGTGACATTATTTTACTATACATCATCATATTAACTACAAGCTTTCCATGTACCACTTGTGGTACACACATAGGTTGAGAGACGCTACCTTAAATCATTTTCATTTCTAGAGTAGTGAATAATGCATCAGTTTTACCATAAGATGATTTTATTATTGAAGAATTTGGGGTTATGTAATGGGTAATTTTTACTTTTCAACAAGGCTGTAAAAAATCCCAATATATGTCCCTACCTCATGTAGTGAATCAAAAAAAGAAAATATAATACTTTATTGTATTAATAATATTATTACTCGGGGTATGAGTACGAGGGTCTGTAAGAAAGATAGAAGATGATAGAAAATAAAGTGATCTTTATTTTATTAATATGGGATTCATTATAATTAATTGTCAATTTTTAAATATCAATAATGCCACGAGTTTTGACGGTTATCGATGATAGGTGGGATTGAGTCACCTCTTGTGTCTACCCAGAGTGGTATGGTGGCTATACATATAAACCTCCAACCTAACTCCTGAAATATACACGTGTCAACGATATAATTCTGCCAAGTAACTCTGTACAAAAATTATCGATTTATTAAATTTACTTGGAATATTTATTATTATTGATAATCACTTGATTTTCCTGTATGATAATCTATGTACTCGTAAAATTTAATTCTAAACCTTATTTATTTTTGGTGAATTTATTAGATTCGTACCTTGATATTTTCTGCGATACTCTTAAATAAATAGATGTTGTATTTTTTGTACAAATATAATTGTGCTGACGGCGGATCACTTCTTGCATATATTTCGTTATGTGGAATGATCGAGCGTAGTGAGTGCCTCTGTGAATATCTGACTGCAATTGTCTCTGAATGCTCTTTATTTTTGGCTTTTTATATTAAATTTGATCGTGGTTTAAAGGCAAGAAGTGATCACCGACGCCACCGTTATTTCTTTATTAATCGTAATTTATTACATTTTCATCAATAATGATCTACATACTATAAAATACTATCATATCTTATATAATAATTTAGACATACTTTATTACCCTACATCTTATGTGCTACCATTACATATTGTTTATTATTTCCTATTTGTTTTATATAATTAATATATGCTTTTTTCTACGAAATTTCATTAGTATATTTAAACATTTAAAAGGTACATATATATATATATATA